AGGGTCTGGGAAGCCTGCCATATGAGGACAGGCTGAGAGAGCTGGGTTTGTTCAGCCTTGAGAAAAGGAGGCTTAGAGGTGATCTCATCACCATGTGCCAGTACTTAAAGGGGAGCTACAAAGAAGCTGGAGACTCCCTTTTTACAAGGAGTCACATGGTGAGGACTAGGGGTAGTAGGCAGAAGTTACTCCCAGGGAGATTCTGATCGGACATGAGAGGAAAATTTTTCACAATGAGAAGAGTCAATCATTGGAATAATCTCCCCAGGGAAGTGGTTGACTCCGCTACGCTGAACATGTTTAAGACTCAGCTGGACATGGTGCTGGGCCATCTCGTCTAGATTGTGCTAGAAAGGTTGGACCAGATGATCCTCGAGGTCCCTTCCAACCTGGTATTCTATGATTCTATGATTTTGCTTTATTTTGTCTTCCAGAAAAAATTAGGGATCTAAACACTGATGATAGCAACACATTAGTCAAGTTTACAATTTGTTGGATTATATCCAGTTACAGGAACATCCCACAAACTCCATAAACATGAAGTATTAATATTTAATGGCCTTAATATTTAAGTGCAAAAAACTAGCCTCAAAAAATTGTTGTCAGGACCCACGGCTACTCTCATGTAATGACTCCCCCATTGCATTCTTTTACATTTAAAGCTGATTGATTGTGTATTTTCCTCTAAAATGTTTAGCAACCATAACAATACTTCAGTTAGACATTAGCTATTGTTGTCTAAGGAATTCACTTACAGAATCCAGTTTAGCTGCATTCTCTTTGCAAAGCATGTAAAAAATATTTTTCAGATTTAGGAGATATGACCCATAAAAAGGACACACAACGAATAAAATTACAGTTATGAAGACAGTAAATTTGAAACGCATATTATTAAAAATTAGACACCATAGATGGCATCGAAGTATATGTCCTAAAATGAAGAAGTGGTGGTCATACATCATATTCGAATGAGTAGGCAAAAAGTATGGGAACTCGCTACTTATCAGGGGTTGATTCAGGAACCTAAAATTAGTCTGGAAAAAGAAAACTGTAACTAGATGGCTTTTCCCCTCGGTGATATTCATTCCCGTAACACCTAATTCTGCCATCAAGCATCATTGTCTCCAACATATTATTTAAGGATTTGTAATTTCAGGTGTCACTCCCTCTCTTGCTCTTATGCAATGCCTTTCTTCTGAGAATTGCAGAGGTTTTTATATAAATAATAAGGTATATAACACCTATGAATTAGGAAGTTCCACATTTCACAGATGGAACTGAAACAGAGCTAACATGCCCCAGATTTACAAATTTTCTGAAGTCATCTTCTCCCAGAAAAGATTACAATAACTCTAATTTGATTTGGAAAATTACTGTGTCCTAAGTGAACTCTCCTGCAATTTGAAGGTATCTTATTGCAGTAATATCTAACGCAAAAGAGATAGGGACTCTTCTTTTTTCCTGAATCAGATTTTGGTGATATGTGTCATTACATGCCCAAAAGAAGTGAACATTAATGCCACAGAGGTATCAGTCATGACTCTGTAGCTGTGGGCAAGTTCCATTTCACACTTCAAAAAAATTAATTCAAATCCTGCTATATTTAAAAAAATGCATCATATACTCCCTAATCTGAATGCCACACAAAGTGAGTTCTCTAAATATAAGTTCTCTAAATATAAGTTTAAACATAAATTCGCTATTTATGAGAAAACACATCTATACTGAATAAGAAAAATCTGATTCCTCGGAGCCCTGCCGTCAGCCTCAGCAAGATTCAGAATGATTTTTGGCAACAGCAGGAAGCAGGCTCTTCTCATCCTGATGCAGCCCGTTTAAAGTTTAAGCACATGTTTTATGAAGAAGCAAGGTGGTAGTGAAGCTCAGAGCAACTGTTTCTAATTGTTGTGATTACACAGACAACAAATAAAATCAGGCCGAGGGCTCATGCGGAAGGCCATTTTGACAGAGAGAAACTTTCCTCTCCAGCTAATTTGCACGTGGCAATCCTACTAAGTGGAGCAACGTAGAGAAGGGGCTCACATCAAAAGTTTTCACTGATAAATCGCTTCTTTCCAGCTGCCACAGTTCCGTAAAGATCCTACAGCTGGTGACAGGACACAGAATTTGTGCTCATAAAGCTCCCTGCGGTACTGCTGCCTCTGCTACAGCATGGAAAAAAGTAACCTTAGCTGGATAACTACGATCTGATCATACACAGCTTTTAACCGTACAGGCAGAGGGACTGGCTTTTTGCTTTTGTTTTGGGGCTGCGTATCTTCAAAGTATTAAAAATAATTATGCAACAGGACTGTTATGGGGTATGCTCACTTAATATAGCTCAAAGAAATGAGATAAGAACTACTTACTGAAGATGTACATATAAGATTGCCTTGCAGTGAAGGTGTGTGTGAGAGAGGGGAATGGAGGAGGAGATCCTCAGCTGGAAAAGACTACACAGCTCAGAAAATTTTCTCCAAATATTCTTTAGTGAAATCTGCAGCTTTTTACCTGATCTTGGAAACATATAGGCATGCAGATAAGGCAGTATTAAATGGATCACTGCTGCCTCTGGAAAGGAAGATAAGTTAGCCTTTGGTGCTTAGATATTCGCTTTCTGGCAGCTGTTCTTCTTTCTCACAAACTTCCTCTGCCAAGCGAAGATTATTTGGGATTGACAAGTCAGTGCTTTGGAATAAACAAGATCTTTTCTCTGATAGGGTGTTGGAAATGGATGCTTAAGATACAGAAAACAGTATAGTCTGTCAGGCGTATTATATAGCTCGAGGGGGTCTCAGGGAAAAGGTACCAAGCCACATAAATACCTACATATGCCTAACTGTTTATGAATCCCTACTATTCCAAAGGATACCAAGAGAAGGAAATCTTTCCCTCACACACTGCAACTCTGATGAGAAGAAGACAAATCTGCTTCCTACACTGTGTGAGGGTGGAGGCAAAAAAGTAGAAAGAGGAGACAAGACCATGAGGTTGGAGTAGCTGAAATAGAGAAATTCACGCAAAAGCAATGCTAAGACCTAATGAAAGTACAAGGTGGTTTGATTTCTTAAAAAAATACATATCCCTTTGGGATCATTACCTACTCTGTAATCAACACCAGCTGCACGTGGCATATCAGGGCTGCCAGCATTCATGCAGTCATTATCAATCAACAAACAAACTTGCTGCCACATCCACAACTGGAGAGGAGGAAAAAGTTACAAATAGTCCCAAATTCCTCAGTGCCACTTTGTTAACCACCAGTGCTAAGGCTGCTGCTCCAAACACAACCTGTGCTTTATCTGCAGCCCTAAAGGGTGGGTGCCACCTTCTCTTTAAGCCTTACTGGCTCCTAATTCAGGCCAGGATGCTTCACTGGCGAGGCAGCAAAGAGGCACTTCAGACTCTCTTTCAGTGCAAGGTCTGGAGGTCTCTGCATCTTCTCAGTCTCCTTTCCCTCAAAGAGCAGCAGCAGTTCTAGCAGCACTTCTTGAACCCGGTACTTCAAAGATGAGCTATACTGTTACAGGAACCCAAGCTCACAAGGGTCTTCTAGACCCAACAGTCCATGGGAATTGGCTGGGCTCAAGCGAACACCAGGGAAGTACAAACATTAAAATGCCTTAAAAGACCTCCCTAAATTTTAGCATTTTTTTTGAAGGGCTTGCATACACAGAAGCAGATGTCATCTATAACAGCTGTCACTAATTGCAGTTGCTGCCACACGAGTGATAACATGATGCCCTAAAGTTCAGATGCTGGAATATATTCTTTTTGTTTCCCCAGATGATGTTCTGCAGCAAAATAAAGCCAAACCAAACACATTACATACACGCATACTCACATGTGTCTGGGGACAAGCACTTGAACATGACAGTTCGTCATAAATTTAGCCATAAATTACCAATAGTCATTTTCAGATACGATGCTGCTTAACATACCTGTACAGGTTGCAGGTATCCTTGAACTCAGAATCTCTCCTTTTTATTGCCAAAATTGACATTTAGTTGCAAAGAGGTGTTGAAACTTCATTAAGCTTTACTGTTACATATACACTACTGTTCAACACTTCAAATTCAAAGTTTGCTGACATCACGTCAGTACAGATTTTCTGTTTGCATACTTGACACAAGCCAAGCCCTGCACTTTTCTTTTACCTGGAGTAATGGATAGCCTGATGTCCTGCAATATTAAAATAGAAGTCAGTTGTATGTTTCATCTCATCGGTATGTCCAGAGACTTCAATCCAGTGTGCTATTGGGAGGCAGTAAACTCCATCTACTATGTTGCTCTGGTTATAAACACAAATTCGATCATGATGGGGCCCATTACCTAGAACAGAAGAAAGGACAATTGCGGGCTGTGCATCCAGAAAATCTTCTGAAAGATTTGTAGGAGATGAGAACTGAGTATTTAAGGCAAGGAGTGGTGTTTGCTGCCTGTTCAGACTGTATTTCTCATAGCACATTAACACCTCAAATAGTTGTAACAGAAACGCTGCCAAAGCAAATGTTCAGCATTAAAATCAATTTTTGCAAATTATTCAAAAAGCATTAAAACTGTATAAGACCCCCAAATCATCAACCGTGGCACTTAAAATTTCAAGAATAATTAAAGTTCCTCATCTGATGTCTGATAACATGTGACCTCCATGTTCAACGCTTCTGCTGTGTGACCTCCCTCTGGGGGATTCAGCTTGCTGTGGCCCGAGGTCTAGCTCTGACACGGCACAGCAGCGTCACCGTGCCTCAGGCTTACTTCTAAGGAAATTGCCAAGCTACAAGAAAGACCTCAAAGAAAGCACCAGGTACAGCTGTGCAAGCTCAGAAAGGTAAAACTGCAAACAAAGGTAGGACTGGTGACACTGGAATTGTTACCAGCTTAAGGATTCAAGAGGAAAAACACCAATGCGGAAAGGCATCAAATCCCAAAGAAGAAAAGTGAGCAGGCAGCAGACAGAAACCCGGCAGCAATGAAGACCTGTTTCAGGGCGAAGCGATGGGTGGTCCTCCTCCACCTCATTCACAGCTGCCTGGCCAGCAAAGACTCTTCAGGTGCCCTGCCTGGGACAGGATGCACACCGAGGCCTAGCCTAGGAACTCATTAAATCCTACCTGCCTTTTATGTTTGCTAACTGATAAAACAATCGCTTTGTACTCTTCGGATACACGTCCTGCTTGCAGAGTCTGTTCATATACAGTGAAAGTTGCCCAAAGTGACCCAGAGAGAGACGGTCATATCTGCAATGCTGAGCAATCACAGTTACCTAAAACAGCCTTGTCTAAAGGAAGAAATTTTTCTTACGGTTTTCCACTACCCAATATCCATTACCCCTTCTTCTTCTCTTACAGCAATAGCGTGAGCTTTAGTACAGAAAACCAATTTTTAATACCATGCCAGAGTAAGCAGCTTGAATTGAACCGGGTCATGTCATCAATCAAAAGGTTATCTAGCCTCCAAAAATTCAGTACATGTATATTGTCCCCCTCCCATTTTTACATACTTATTGTAATACTAATTGCCATGTAGGAATTATTGTGCAGATTAGAAGTGACCTAGTCTCTGGTTTGCTTTTAATGTAAGCCTGTTACACTTATACATTATTAATGATGTTAGAACATTTCTGACTAAAATTATGTCCAAAGGAATATCTTCAATTTCACACTGCACATAAATGAATGACCAGCTTCCAAGCACCACAGTTAGGGAAATTTGCTAGAGCAAGAGCATTTTGAGACATACATTAATGCAATGATTAGAGAATAAGACTAACATTTAATACTAAAGCTCAAACAATCTCCTTATTTCCAGATGACATGCAACACTTTTTATCGTAATTGTGAAATACTATTATTTACCAAAAAGAAAATACTAGGCAGAAAACTATTTTCTCTTTCTATATTGCTGAACCATTATGCATCATATGCAATGGTATGACACAGCTTTTGATAAATAAGGTAAGCAAGATCAGTATATAGCTCCTGAAGCTACAGATCTTACCGCTATATTTTTATCTCACGTTTCTAATTGTTTTCACATTCTTACCGCTTTTAAACAATATTTGAAGACAGCAGTATACATCAACAAATACAACAGCATAGCAAAGCCTGTGGATGTTTATGACACTTAATTGACTTCATGTGTTCAGCAAAATCTTTACAACCACAAAGAACACGTTGCCTTCCCCATTTGACTGACAACTGTCTGTAGCGATGCACATCACCATGGCCCTGCCCAGCCATCACAAGGCTGTGTCTGATCCTGACTCCCACCCATGGGCAGACATGCAGTCCCACCCTCAGCCCTATCCCCAGGAAGATGCCCGATGCCCGGGACTGGGACTGTCCTGGTGCCCCCGGCTGCCTGCTCCTGGCTGCCAGCCCTGTTGGGTGTCCCTGCAGCCCCCAGTCCCCAGGGAGCCGCCAGCCCTCACTGCACCCTGGCAGGTTTGAACAATGTTCTCAGGATCTCTGGCTCTTTGCTACTCCCAGCCCTACTTTTCCTTGTACGCGAGCACCCTTGTACCCACTCCAGCTCCCTCAAGGACTGTCCCTTCCACTGCTCACAGCTGCTCCTCTCTCCCACGAGGGCTTCTGCATGAATTTTTGCAATCGCAATCTTTGATCTCTCCTTCCTGCTTAATTTCTTCTTTCCTCGAGGTGCTAATCAGTCCTACAAGACAACAAAGCCTCACTCTTCTTTGTCTTCATGATCTCAATTGCATCACTACATGCTTCCTACTTTCCCATTTCCAACTGCTGCTGCTTGAGGCGCATGTACTTCTGTCATTTGCCAGTTTTAGTGTCCATCCTCCTTCTCCTCCAGTTTTAATTCTTGGCTCTTTTTTCCTTCCTTTTCTATCATCTGCCTTCTTAAATGGCAGTAACCTCCTTGCCTTGTAACCTTTTCATCTTCACCATCATTCATTCCCTTACCTAGCCTACAACCACACATGAAAGCGGGGCCAAGAGTAAATTGCCACAAGACGTTTGTTTCATTTGTTCCCTCAAACAGGTTTTGTCAAACCTCATTCTGAAAAGCTTCCTTCTCTAATTGTTATTTATTGCTGTTGATTTTTCTGCACCACTCAACCTCACCTTCCTGCTGTGGCCTACAGTCAAACAGGAATCTCAAAAAGTATGTTTCCATTTTGGCTGTAATACTCCAGTAAACAATAACAGCTTGCATTCATGACAGTTTTCATGAGAATTGCACAGATCTTTACTACCCCTTACATTACATACTGATCTGTGAATTAATAACCCTCTTACCGAAATATGATGTCCATGCAACAGAATGCATAGGAATATACATTCAACACATATATATTCATGTGTGTGTATACATATTCATGTATATATTCATTTATATATACATGTACATACATATATATTCATGTACAGCAATATAATTTCAGACAGGAAGGGGAGAGCGCTACCATCTCCAAGAAATACTAATTTAGAGGACAGTATGATCATACCGAGCTGCTCAGGAAGCTGAATTCTCCATTCCCCTTACAAGAATTATGAAAGAAGGCAATTACCACCATCAGGATCTCACTACCCAGGCAATATCCAAATGATACACAAGTGCTTCTCGCCACAGTTTGCTTCACAAGCCACATTTAACAAATAAGTTTCAAAAAAAGAGAAAATTGTTGTATCAGTTCACATCATGCTTCTGCTAGCACAGTTTGTCACAGGAAAACCATAAGATTTTGCATGCCATAAAACAACAATGCAAGGAAACCGTTTCAGAAATAGAGCCAGATGACAAGTTTGGAGGAGTACTGTAGAACTCATCTATTAGAGCTGCTATAAAAGGGCTAAAGATTGAATTCTCTCAACTTTTAGCTTCCAGAGTCATTTAATACAAAAATAAGTCAGCCAATGAAACCAACTTTCATTAAAGGTAACTTGATCATAAACCATGTTTTAAATAGAAAACTATTAGCACCACTTACATGTTGTGTTATATGTTTGCAGAACGTATACAGCTGGGAAAATGGGCGCAGCTTGGGTGACGAGCAGAAATCATTAACTGGATAATCCTCATTTCTTCCTTTTCCACCCCTATCTTTTTAAACCTTTCCTCATGAGTTCCCTCTGTCTGAAGGAAGGTGCATCAGCCTCATGGTATGAGGTACATCCAGGCAAAACTTGCCTTAGTCTCATCTTAGCACCCTTATCTCTGCTGATGGAGCAGCCTCCTTGCATCTCCTTTGCAGTAGTTCCATGACTCCATCAGACTCAGACGAGCTGGCCCAAGACTTCTCACAAGTACAGGAAGAGTTTGTGCCAAGAATAAAAAAGCTTTCGGAGTCAGAGGCAGGATAAAAATCTGGCACACTAAGTGAAACACTTACTCTCCCCTCCCTCACCCCAATAGGCTAAGCAAAGTCCTTTCTGGATTTGGATCCCTGGAGCATGGGGACTTTCCCATGCCCAGGACAGCAAGTTGGGCAGGGTGTTAGCTCCAGGCAGCGACCAACAGCACCACAGATCAAAGACCACCACTTCTTCGCTCTCTCTGGTCCAGGGCTGTTTGTGGGGTGTAGTTGGTTAGTTTGGGATGAAATCCGCAGAAACCGATTCTTCTCAGTGCATCAGAAATGTGTTGTGGCCCTAATTTATTACCTTCTGCTCAGGCACCAGAGAGAAAAGATAGAGGCCAGTGCAAGGAGAAGCGCCACGAGACTGCGTGTATGCAGAGTCTGGACGTGTCTGCTCATGACTGAAGCTGCCCATACACACACCAACTTCCTACTCCACTTATTTCCCCCACAGGTCCCAGTTATCTGCATTACCTGAAAGGCCACCGCCCCTTTCGATCTCCTAAGTGACTTCCTAAGAAGTCAGACTCGGCAGCCCATCTCCACAGAAACTCAGCTTTATTACTCACTTCTCAAATGCACAAAGCATTTCACAAAGTAAATTACCAAAACTGAAGGCCTAGTGCTGAAGTTTAGTTTCTGTACCTGAAGCTCGGAAAGGTCCTATCTATGAGCTGGGAAGGCTATCCTGACCATGCTGGGCAACCACGTCTGTCAGGGTGCCTGTTCATCACCGCCTGGCATGGCACAAACAGAGAACGTTCAGGGCTTAATTCGCGGCAATCCAAGAGATGCTTCCAGGACCACAAGTGCATATCACATCTTTACCAGCAACAAAGTGTGCACCACTGGCCAGGCCCAGGCACATACCGCTCATGCAGAGATTGAGTGGCTGGAGGATTTTGCACCCCTGTTACAAGCTGAGTGCTAGGAGGGAAACAGCTTGAATCATACCAGTGCTGAGCGTGAGGGCATACTGCAAAATCCCTAGGGGAGCTCCAAG